ACAAAGCTCAAAGCAATGTAAAGTACTGTACATTTAAAAATGATATATATTCTTCAGAGTTTTACCAAACTAACCTTTTGTCGCATCTTTTCTGTAGGCTGGGCATCCCAAACCTCTCATTACCGAAGTTGCGCTGATGCTAATGATGAGGCAAGGACCCATAAGCCCCCACGTCATCCAACTATATGAGTGGTTTGAGCACTCTCAAACGTTCACTCTCATTATGGAGTATCCGGATCCCTGCGAGAGCTTGTTGGACTTCATCAACAATAATCCTAACATGAATGAGACAACAGCACGGCTCATCATGTGTCAGGCGGTGCAAGCAGTACAGCACTGCATTGAGCGCGGGGTTTTTCATAGCGATATTCATCCAGAGAATATCCTGTTGAGAAAACACACTTTGGAGCTTAAGTTGATAGACTTTGGCTGTGGTCATCTACTTAGTAGTAATGGCTATGATTGCAGCCAATATAGAGGTGAGCTGGCATTTTGTGTCACAGAGTGTGGAAACCAGTGTTTAGTGACTTATTATTGCTCATGTGATGCTTCTAAGAATTGCTCAATGCTGAACATGTCTTGCTTACAGGAATACAGGCTTACTTCCCACCTGAACTCTTCATCTATGGCAAATTCCACGCAGTCTCTACAAACGTCTGGGCTCTAGGAGTGTTGTTGTATGAGATGATGAACACATGTTCTCCATTTCGCAATATAACTGAAATCACGCAAGCCAAAATTAGGTTTGAAAACCCAGATTTATCTAAAGGTGAGAGAATAGCACTGATAACACACACATACAGCTTCTGCACAGAATTAACAAACATTGGTAGAGAATGTCTTGTCTAGCATAGTAAAACACAGACTTTAGTATTTACCAACTGATGTTAGTGGTTAGAATTATGTGTTCAGATATGTTTATAATAATTGTAAATTCCCTTAACCTTAAATGAACCATGTTTCAGAAGCTGTTTTCGTACATGCCAACATTAGTGTCACATGGTCACGACTAACCAGCTCTCTCCTGAAAACAGAATGCTGTGATCTGATTGTCCAGTGCCTAACCCGTGATCCAACTGAACGGCTGACCCTCGAGCAGATCTTGCAGCATGACTGGTGTAAAACAGTGGATCTAAAATGAAAGTAGTGAAATGACAGTGTAAGAGACAGAGTAGGAAACTACATTTTGGCTGTCATCTTAATTTCTGCATCAGAGATGTCAATTTAAAATAAGAGCAGAGAACGGAGTTCATTTTTGTCATAAATGTACATATTTTTGGCATTAATATGGATTTAAATAGAAAATAATCATTTGTTTTATGTTACATTCAATCTTGCGTCCATATTTATGGTCATGTTATTCAAAGAAATGTTTAAAAAAATGCTAAAGTGTGCTAACATTAAAACATTAACTGACAGCACAACAGTCCCACAACATATTTTCATGTCTGATCAGGGCCACAACCACCAAAGACCAACCCCCAATAATTAAATCAGCAAACTATTTCTAATTACGTGTTTTTGTGTCTATGCTTTATTTTAAAAGTGTAGTTTTAGCTTGTTTTAAAATCAATATTTTACATGGATGTAATAAAAAGGGCCTTAAAAAGTATTATAGTTTTATATTATATATATATATATATATATAAAATAACATAGACAATAATAATTAATAATAAAGAATAATATACGGAATTAAACCAAATAACCTCTTTAAATGTTTCCATGATAAAGCATAGGCCTATATAAAATTAAATTGAATTAAACTGAATCTAGTGTTAATAAAAACTGCCTTCAACCACATGCTTTTGTCACGAATTCAGTCTATGGACTTCCGTTTATTCACCACCAGAGGTCACCCTTTCCATTACATTGACTCTCGCACAACACAAACTGTTGCATAGCACCCCGGACTACATAGCCCATCATTCATTGCACGGTTTGCACACTGCACTGATTGCACTCATTGCACACAGCTGTTTCTTATCACCTCACTCACTGTATAACACCCACTCAAACTGCCATTCTCTGCTGAGTATTGTTTAGCCCGTACCCCATTCCGAGTCTCTGTGTTTTCCTTGTTTTGCCTTGCCTGTTTTCGCGGTTTCTGATATTTGCCAGTTTTCCTGGATTTTTCCCTCTCGTCTCGCCCCTGTGATTCTGTCTGCCGATCGGTGACCTACGCTAGCCCTGGGACTGTTCTTGTGTTTTGCCCGCCATATACTTGTTTGCCATTGTTTGACCCTGCCTGTTTACCACGTCTCTTGAATAAAGCTTGCAGATGGATCCACACGTCTCACGGCTCGTCATCCCCGTTACAGTTTTACTACTATATAGTACAGTAATAATTTAGTACTTTCTCCTGTTTTATTGTTGGTTTCCGCTTTTCTGATAATTTGGAATGAGGATAAAAAGACAAATAAAAAACATGCAAATAAGTTCAAACATCAATTCAATATCTATTATTTCCTGAATATTATGACATTCAAGAGGGCCGCCCCCTGATGACATAATATGCAAATTAGACAAGTATATTTACACCCCACATAAACTTTCGGTCATGCCCAACATTTTTCTAATTTACAGTAGATCTCTATCTTTAAGCCCTTTCAAGCCACAAGCTGTTGAAATCTTGATGTCAAAATCCAGCATTTTTCAAAAAATCCCTGGCGCCTAAAAGGTTAAATGCTCAAATGCTGGCGTTGGCTGGCAACATTTTTTAAAACGCTGACGGGGAACGAGTTAATTACAACTCAATACTTCATAACAATGTGAGACTTTTGAAGCAGATACCAAGCCTCCAACAAAATGTCCTGTCGCTCGTCACAGCTCTTCCACAGAAGACACCTTGTTTCTCCGCACATGAACATGAACTACTGACCGTGATCTCAGACTGTGGTGATCTGGTTTCTCCACTGCATGCATCCTCGTGTGTATCTTCAGCTGACTTTTAAAAGTGAAGCTTTTCCCGCACTGATCACACGTGGGTGGCTTCTCTCTGCTGTGGATCTTCTCATGTGCATTCAGATTTGATGACTGACTGAAACTCTTGTCACAGTGTGAACACTTGTGAGGTTTCTCTCCAGTGTGGCTCCTCTGGTGCAGGTTTAATCTGTATGCTGAAATAAATGTCTTCCCACACTCAAAGCACATATAATCTCTCACATCAGCATGTATTTTCTGATGTACTTTTAAATTGCTCAGCTGTGAAAAACTCTTTGCACACACAGAACATGAATGCGGCTTCTCCTTCGTATGAACTGTCAGGTGTGTCTTGAGGTTTGATGACACGATAAATGTTTTGCCGCACTGATCACATGCGTGCGGCTTCTCTCCGGTGTGGATCCTCATGTGATTTTTAAGATGTCCTGTCTGCGTGAAATCTTTCCCGCACTGATCACATGTGAATGGTTTCTCTCCAGTGTGAATCCTCATGTGCCACTCAAGACTTTGCTTGAATGGGAAACTCTTCCCACACTGAGTGCAGGTGAAAGATTTCTTGGCTCTTCTTTTCTTTAAAAATATATTTTTAGTCTTCGAGTGACTCGAAGGTTTTCCTCCAGGTTCGTTGTGATGTTTCTCCTCCACTTCACTCAGTTCTTCTCTCTCCTTGTTCTCTTCCACGAGGCCTGAAATGAAAGAAAAAATGTTCAATTTCAATTTTAGTGAATCGAAAAAAAATTCAAAGCTAGAAATATGAAAGTCAGCACTAATGTAATAGCAGAATGTAGATGACTGCTATAAAATATTATGATAATTCTGGTGCATTTTATAAATTAATTGAACGATCGGATGCAAAACATTATAGGCACAAAATCCCATGTTTCTGTAGAGAGAGCTATTAAATACAGTGCCCTCCATAAGTATTTGGACAGTAAAGACAAAATTGCTCTGTTTGCTCTAGAGACAAGAAATCTGTAGATATGATTGATAGATGAGTATGAGACAAAACCACAGAATGACACATTTTATTATTGGGTGATTCAACACATAAGAAATTCAGCACTTTTAGAGTTTCATCCCTCTATCTGATGTGAGCATAAGTGTTGGAACAGTTGCCTCACAGGCCTTTCTAAGTGATCAGCTGTGTTCTGTTGCATTAATTGTTCAGATATTAAAAGCGGGGAATGTGTCGTATCAGTTATATCCATTGCTTCTGCATTCTGAGTCTTGCATTCGATGACGACACACACAAACCAGGATGAAGACGAGGCGGCTGACTTTGAGAGAAAAGCAAGCAATATATATATATATATATATATATGTGTGTGTGTGTGTGTGTGTGTGTGTGTATTTCTTCTTATTAAAGTTAAAGAAAGTGATTTAGTCAAGAGCAGTGAGAGATTTTCTCTCTTTTGTTGTTTGATTAAGATGAAGGACTATTAGACTGCTGTCACTTTAAGACAGAACATCCAGATCCAATATACAGGGGTTAAAGCAAAAAAAAAATCCTGAGCCTGAACTTTTTTCCGGGGCGGGGGGAGGGCAAAGCATGCAATGACTGTGGCAACTTTAACATTTGAAAGGATACTATGACAAAGTTATCGCTTTCCTTACTCAAACTGTTTTTTTTTCATGAATATATGGTTGACCTGAAGAATGAAAGCTGTATCATACACTTGGAAAATTACAAGCTATATCACAGTTTATCGACTCGAGGGGTGTGACAATACACTTAGCTCACGAGACGAGACAAAATACAGATACTTGGTTTACTAGAACGAGACAATGTTTTAATACTATTTTTAACCAAATGACAAATGACAAAATATTTGTCTTTTCATTACAAAAAGTAAAACAATGCAGTTGTATTTTGAAATATTTTAACTAATCTAGGGCTGTAACTAATGACTATTTTGGTAATCAAGTAATCTACTGATTATTTTGACGAGAGTAATCTGGTATTTTTTAGTAACAAATAGACCTAAGTGCAAACCAGGCTTTAGTATGACTATTTATATATAAACTAACGATTAGGCAATAATAATTGGCTCAAATAAAATATCAAAACCAAGTAATTACATGGTTTATTGAACAACATTGTTAAAATACATAATGTAACATGCCTATACATAATATGAACATAACCTTACATATGACCCAAATTACTGTGGATTTTGGCATTTTAACCATTCATGGCCAATAAAGCAACACAAATGCTCACATGCTCTGAGCATGGGATTCATATGGACTGTTGTTTGCATTTCAACGCCATTTAAATTACTTGTTTTTAAACCGCAATGCTTAAAAATGTGTGCAAACGATACATTTTCTCGACCGGTTATGAACACAAGGCACAAGGCACAGCAAAGTGACTTTAACTGCTATAAAGACTATAGTTCAAAATCTCTACCGGTTGTCATATTTCTAACGTTTAATCACTTGTTTTCCAGTATACCTGAAATGCGTAAATGTTCTAATCGCAATTCTGTAAAGTTTGGTGTTTACTGTTTAATGCTGAAAGAAATGGCAAAAATCACAATATTGTTAGCTATATTGAGAAATGTCCAACATTCTGCTAACCTGGATGCAGAAACTTGAAAACCAGATATAATATAAATGTAAAGTAAAAAAAACTGAAGTAATTGTCTGATGTTGACACTCGATATGAAAGTTTCTCAAACCTTCCTTTACTGACCTTTTGTTGAAAACTAAAAATGAAACGATAAGATGAGTACAAACTGTTTATCTTTCTAACATGAATGTTCTTCAGCATCGTGAATGAAGAATAAACACCAACCTGTTAGTTCCTCAGTATCTTCAGTGTGTTTGATTCTGCAGGGCTCTGGATCTCTCATCTTCTCTCTGTCCTCTTTAATAAACTCAGTCTTTGATCAGATCTCAGCTCTTCCTGATGCTCTGATGCTCGTCTGCACTTCTGAACTGATGGAGATCTTCCAGCATTTATTGCTGAACTGCAGTGGGAGGAGCTTCACTGATGATGGGAGGAGCTTCACTGGTGATGGGAGGAGCTTCACTGATAATGGGAGGAGCTTCACTGGTGATGAGAGGAGCTTCACTGGTCATGGGAGGAGCTTCACTGATGATGGGAGGAGCTTCACTGATGATGGGAGGAGCTTCACTGATGATGGGAGGAGCTTCACTGGTGATGGGAGGAGCTTCACTGGTGATGGGAGGAGCTTCACTGATGATGGGAGGAGCTTCAGTGATAATGGGAGGAGCTTCACTTGTGATGAATTCCAGTGTGGGAGGAGCTTCAGTGATTATGGGAGGAGCTTAAGTGATTATGGGAGGAGCTTCACTGGTGATGGGAGGAGCTTCACTGTTGATCAGTTCATTTTTATACTAATGGATAACAGAATATAAATAATGTAGTGGTAATTCTTCCAGATAAAAATAATGGTAAGAAAAACAGTTGAAAGCATAAAAATATAAATACATGTAGATATTTGTGACCCTGGACCACAAAACCAGTCATAAGGGTAGATTTTTCAAAATTGAGATTTATACAACATACATAAATCAAACAGAAATAATCTTTCCATTGATGTATGGTTTGTTAGGATAGGACAATATTTGAAAATCTGGAATCTGAGGGTGCAAAAAAAAATCTAAATATTGAGAAAATCATCTTTAAAGTTATCCAAATGAAGTTCTTAACTATGCATATTACTAATCAAAAATTAAGTTTTGATATACTTACGGTATGAAATTTACAAAATATCTTCATGGACCATGATCTTTACTTGATATCCTAATGATTTCTGGCATAAAAGAAAAATTGATCATTCTGACCCATACAATGTATTGTTGGCTATTGCTACAAATATCCCCCAGCGACTTAACACTGCTTTTGTGCTGCAGGGACACATTTGTAAGCAACATATCCCCTCTGTCTGTTGACACCAATGAAACGAGCTTAAAGTGGCCATTTACAGGAGATCTGAAGACATCAGCTTAATACATGAGGTGAAAACAGGACTATTGTCATGAAATACAGAGTGTTTTCAGCAGCTGTTAATATTGATGAGCCTCAATCAACACTCATTCAACAAGACATTCAGGATCATCAGCTTGTGTTTGTGCGCATTCAGAATCAGTCTGAATGAACAATATAATGGCTTTAATGGGAAGACTCACACACTTAAATATAACCACTTTGTTACATCCAAAAAAAAAAGACATGAAACTGTGATCTGTGGGAGTTTTAATGAGTAATCAGTTTGAAATTTAAGTGAATCTCTGTCTGTGACCCATTTTTACAGAGCTTTGATGTCTGATAATCAGAAAACAAAGTTACCCATTAAAAAGAATAGTTGAACATAAGTTCACAAATAAAAAATATTGTTTAAATAGTTACTGCCTTTAGTTAATATTTTGGAATAAATGTAAAATGCTTATAAATACTAACTAGATTAGATCAATGTTCGTATTAGTAATGTTTGTTTAACCAAGAAAATGTGGCTGAGACATGAATTTACACTTCATGAGGACTTTGCCTCCTCATTTCAGAACACACACAGTATGTTAGACCCTATTCCATCTAAGCTCCTAAAAGAGGTGCTTCCAGAAGTCACAGATCCTCTTCTGACTATTATTAATTCATCAGTCATTAGGATATGTCCCCAAAACCTTCAAACTGGCTGTTATTAAGCCTCTCATCAAAAAAACACAACTTGACCCCAAAGAACTAGTTAATTATAGACCGATCTCGAATCTCCCGTTTCTGTCCAAGATACTAGAAATGGTAGTATCCTCACAACTGTGTTCCTTCTTAGTGAAAAATGGTATCTGTGAGGATTTCCAGTCAGGATTTAGACCGTGTCATAGTACTGAGACTGCTCTCATTAGAGTTACAAATGACCTGCTCTTATCATCTGATCGTGGTTGTATCTCTCTATCAGTGCTGCTGGATCTCAGTGCTGCGTTCGAAACTATTGACCACAGCATTCTTTTGAATAGACTAGAAAACTTTGTTGACATTAATGGGAGTGCATTAGCATGGTTCAAATCGTACTTATCTGACCGCCATCAATTCGTAGCAGTGAATGAAGAGGTATCATATCGATCACAAGTGCAGTATGGAGTACCTCAAGGCTCAGTACTAGGGCCATTACTCATCACGCTTTACATGTTACCCTTGGGAGATATCATCAGAAAACACAGTGTTAACTTTCACTGTTATGCTGATGATACTCAGCTCTATATTTTTTTGTATCCTGGCGAAACATACCAATTTGAAAATCTAACGGAATATACAGTCAATATAAAAAACTGCATGACAAGTAATTTCTTACTGCTAAATTCTGAAAAAAAAACAGAGGTGTTAATTATAGGACCTAAAAACTCTGCATGTAATAACCTAGAACACTGTCTAAGACTTGATGGCTGCTCTGTTAATTCCTCGTCATCAGTTAGGAACCTAGGTGTGCTATTTGATATCAATCTTTCCTTTGAAAGCCACGTTTCTAGCATTTGTAAAAAAAAATTATATTTAAAAAATATATCTAAATTACGACCTATGCTGTCAATGTCAAATGCAGAAATGTTAATCCATGCGTTCATGACCTCAAGGTTAGATTATTGTAATGCTTTATTGGGTGGTTGTTCTGCACACTTAATAAACAAACTCCAGCTGGTCCAAAATGCAGCAGCTAGAGTTCATACTAGAACCAGGATGTATGACCATGTTAGCCCGGTTCTGTCAACACTGCACGGGCTCCCTATTAAACAAGCAAGATTTTAAAATCTATACGATATTACTTATAAAGCCCTGAATGGTTTAGCACCTCAGTATTTGAACGAGCTCTTGTTACGTTATAGTCCTCCACATCCGCTGCGTTCTCAAAACT